TCACTGTCCTTGTATGTGTGATCATTATTAGTTAAGGAGTTGAGGACTGAAAAAGCCCCGAGCAGTGTATGTAATTCAGGGCTGTGGAGGAGGAAAGGCACGACTCCCTCTGGTCTGGCACATGTGCCAACAGATGCAGTGCACAGCACTGTGATGGAGGGAGATCTGTAACACAGAAATGCAAATGGATAAGTAATAAATGAGGTGGAAGGGAAGGTCACAGATGTTGAAGGTAATCTAGATTTTTTGCAAGGATTCTCTAAGGAGTGGAACGATACCATGTTTTTACATCTCTGTTTTGCTTTCCAACTTCCTTATCAAACTATATTCGTGGGAAAGTAGAACTTTGTGCTTGTGAAAGGGGCAGGATTGTGGCTTAAGCCTCAGAGGCTTAGACCAGACTCCTGAATGCATAAATCTGTGCCTTAATGTGTATGTAAAGCGTGTCCTTAGGAGCATGTAATTCTTGTAGTTTTCTTGCTGTCACTCTGAAGCCCCTGGTGATTGCTTTGTCATGCCAGCACTCGTTCCCTCGGCACAGCAGCACAGTCCACGAAATGTCCTTCAAGGCATGTTGTCCTGTCACAGCCAGGTACAAATTGCTGCAGCCATTATCAGTCAGGCTCTGTAAAAAACACAGGCTCAAGGTGAAAGGCTTGGCTGGACTTTCAAAGGCAGAAGCTTGAACTTGGAACTGTGCTCTTGGCACACGCTGATGCTTTTATTTTTCTTTAGATGGAGAGCAACAGCACACCAGAACCAAAGGAAAACTGGGAAGAGAATTGCCATCAGAATGGCCTTTCTCTCCCTTTGCCGGAGGAGGGGGAAAACCTCTCCCATTCATTGGAAGCAGAACACAGGTGAGTAAATGGCAAAATAAAGTCTCTAAAGTAAGGGAGGCTGAGTCCTTGGGCTGTGTGAGGAGAAGGAAATTATTTCAAAGAAAACCCTATTTTTGGGAAGCAGCAGTAGCTTTGTGTGTGTGGAGCAGGAGGTGTGTGGGCTTTGTAACTAGTGCTGGACTGGACGGGGTCTTATTGAAAGTAAAACAAGACACCAGTGTCAGGTGAGCCAAGGCTTTACCAAGGTCTGTAATTAAATTCCAGTGCTGCTCTAGTGCCACATCCCCATGTGCTAATGCTGCCTAGATATTTACTTGCCCACACTGGGAGTCAGCATGAACCTGGCGTGATTCTCGTTAATTTACAAGCATGTGTCCTGAATGGAATGGTTTGAGGACACACACACCACACTTTGTTTGCATTTAGAATACTCCTGTGCTGCTTTACATGCTGCAGAAGTGGAGCAGAGCTAAGAAAATATTTGCCTGGTATCTCAGTCTGTATCTCACGTCAGTGAGTAAGCACTGTGAGCATCTGGTGCAAGCGGATAGTGAGGTTTAGGGAGATCCTGAGCTGTGATACTGGTTTGGTTGCCTCATGTCCTCCTTCAGTGTCCTTGGGCTGGAATTTCAAATCCCTGCCTTCCGCCAGGCTGGTTATGTACCCATTGTACAGGGCTGCTGATGGTTAAATATTTGTAAAAGACATTGAAAAATGTTGGGTAAACACAAAAGATTGTTGAAATGGTCTCTGATAGAGAAGATTCCCTGGTGAATTCAGGGTGATTTAGTACAAAACCTCGTGCTTCACGGACAAAGGGTTCTCTCCTTCGCCACTGTTCCCTTGCTTAAGTTCCCACACCCCTTTTATTTTCTCCACAATCAGGTTATTGAAAGAAATGGGATGGCAGGAATATCCAGAAAATGATGAAAACTACCTTCCCCTCACGGAGGATGAGCTCAAAGAGTTCCAGATTAAATCAGAGCAGGTATGTTTTACACCTCTTGCCACTTGTGACTGCTCTTCTCCCTCTCCCTTCTCATGCACAAGTCTTCTGTGGGGTCATTCTTAAGGATGTTCAAGGAAGGCAAAGAGTTGAAGTGAGACTGTAGTAGAATTGATGGCTCTGCATTATCCAAGCAGAGTGTGTGTATACACAGTTAAATATGTAATTTCTGTCCATGCATGGTTAGGGACAGTTACTGCCCACAACTTTACTTGTTTTAAAACTTGCTTTCATTCCTACAGCGAAGAAGAAATGGATTTGGGAAGAATGGATTTCTTCAGGGCCGCGGCTCCAGCCTGTTGTTCCACTGGAGAAGCACTTTTAAGACAAAGATTGAGGACTCAGACACAGAAACTAGTAGCAGCGAAACGTCAGATGACGATGCCTGAAACTGGGCACAATAAAATTAAAATTAATAAAACCAACCCAATAAACTCAGTTCATAGTTCAACACGTGTTTGGGGTTGTATAAACTAAACAGAGTTTATTCTGTCTCCAGTCTGTTCAGTTTTTTCTTTTGTTGTTGATACTTCATGCACAAGGGAAATGATTGTATCCCAAAGAAGAGAGAAATTGGCTTCTTTAGCTTTTTCTTTTGGTTTTGCCCTAATGCTTACTAGAAGTTTGTGCAGCTAGCAAATTTTGACAGAAATCCCTTGTGGGGCAGTGCACAAGTTCAGTCGTGTGAGCAGGACACAAGTGGCTGACTGATCTCTGCAACAACAAGCTTCTAACAGTGCCGCCGCATTGCCCAGTGCCGCGCGGTAACGGTGTGCTAAAACAATCATTGTCGATGACAAAATGGCTTTTGAAGTTCTAATTATGTTAAATTAATGCTAATAACATGGATATTTTATTTTATTTTATTTTTTTTTTGGCGGCTCGGGGAGCTTCATCACTTAACCAGGCGTTTGTGGTTTTCCTTTTTTTTTTTTTTTTTTTTTGGGTACAGCTGTAAAATATTTGGATATAGGAATTGTTTGTGTTCTTCTTCTTGCAGCCTTGATATTCAGGGTGGATTGTAAAATATAAATTTTTTGTGAGATTTCAAAGATTAAGATTATTTTGATAACATTATTTACAGATTTTAAAAAGTGACTATCACATTGAGTCTGTATGAGGGGGAAAAACTACTGCATCAAAAATAACTAACTTGGAATAAATATTTTGCATCAGTTTGCCAATTCTAATTGTCTTTCTTATGTAAGAAGAGCTTTCCTCTAAGGGACCTGAAACTCTGGGGGTTCAGTAGCATTGGGGATAAACAGTTTCTTCTCCCACTCTATATTTCCACTTGGCAAACATTGCTGTAGCGCTCAGACTGCAGGAGCTGAACTCTTCCTTTAAGAAGGGAGAGGGAGAACAATGCTGAGATGACAGCCCATGCTTGTTTGTTTTTTTTTTTAAAGAAAATAATTGAAATTATCTCCTACTAAAGCAGTTTGCTTTTTTTTTTCCTGCTTCATACAAAATGGTGAAGCTCAACCGGTCGGTGTCACTTGTTCCTAGTGCAATGCTGCTGTTTATGTTCACAACGTGGCAAGGGAATGTCTGAATCCAAAGCTGTTTTCATTGAAATCTTTTTTAAAAATTCATGAAAACATTTCTATTAGATTAAAAAGAATTTTACAAACAACTCAGTTGTGGCCTAAGCTATTTTAGTGTCTGGTGTAAGTTCAGCTTGTGCACAAAGGTTTTGGATTGGAAAGCGCTCGGGTGTTGTGCAGTGTTTGCAAGTGGGTTGGATGGAGTTGCACAGCGAGAGCAAAACCCTGGGCCTGCTGAGCTGAGGGGGTTTCACACGAGGTTGTGCCTGTGTGGCTTTTAGTCCACTCCTGGCCAGGCAGAGAGGACTGAGGTGTAAGAAAATTGTAATGTTTAGCCATGAGTCTTTGCGTCTGGGCTCAAGGGAGCACTGTCGGCATTATCAGGTGTAACTGTGCTACCTCTGCTTTCAGCTCCCACCACCAGGGTGACGCTGCCTCTGCAGGGAACCCCAGGTGAGAGGAGCAACGGGGCATTTCTTCATCACTGCCTTCTGGAAACCGAGCTCCAGGGGCTGGGTCTGCCTAGGAATGCTTGGGGAAGTGCTGGGACTGTTGTATGACAGACATTTTACAGCTTGTCTCATGCTTTTTTGAATGTCCTTGTGCTTTGGTCCCATCAAACATGGCTTTTGGCTGGAGAAGTCCATCCATTTTTTAAAAATTTAACTTCCTACATCCATTTAAATCAAATTATGCAAATCTGTTGTGTGCACTGCTGGCAAGAAGTGGGGTAAGTTTAAAAACCCCTTCACCTTAAATCCATGCTAACAGCCACTTGGAACAGAGGAACTGGATTGCTGAGGAGTCCCTGCCTGGATTGAGGGACCAGTGTGGCCTGTGTGTGTGCTGGGAGCTCCTTGTTCCATGCCAGAGTGACTCCTCTGCCCTAACCCTCCTGTGTATTTAAGTATCCATGAAACTTTGGAAGTGTCAATGGCAGCTTCTGGGTGAGCCTGATCAAGCAAATCCCTGTGCAACAACCGGCAGCTTTTTCCTGAGGAGTTCCTGACTGGGATCACTGTCAGTGAGGTCGGGGGGGACCTGCAGCACCCTGGGAAGAGCCCATGGGTGCTCTGCAAGGACAGGTGGGTGCCAGGATGGAAGGAGGGGAGCTTGTTTTGGGAACAAGGGCAGGGCCTGGACACCTGCGGCATGGAGAAGGGGCAGAAGGAGGTGTTTCACCTCTGCAGTTTCCTCCTCAAATCCTGTGGGGCACGGGTGGGAGCTGCTGCAAGGCGGAAAAGGAGCACCCCCGGGACACCCCGGGGCAGCGAAGGTTTTGTAACCAGGGGAGGGGGAGCTCTGCGGGACCTCCTTCATCTTGTTTTTTGTGGATTGCTCAGGTGCCCAAACGACTTTTATTTTTCCCGTTCCGGTGCCCGTGGTAAACAGTGGGAATGGCCGAGGCCGGGGGTGCGGCCGCCCTCCCTGCCCGGCCCAGCGTCCAGCATAGCAACAGCGGCTCCAAACACCGCCAGCACCGCCGCCGGCAGGTCTGTGCCCGCACCCAGCCCTCTCCCTGGCAGGGTGGCCCCCCCGAGTGACCCCCACCCGCTCTGCTTTCCAGGGTGCCGGACATGGGGAGCTTCCCGTGCCCCCGCTGCCGCATGGCCTTCAGCTCCCGGCAGCTCCTGCGGGCGCACCAGGAGAAGCTCTGCCTCGGGATCCCCGAGCCCGCCAGCTCCGGCCTCCATGGGGGGAACCCTCTGCCTGTGGAGGGGGCGCCGGGCACGGCAGGGAGGCCACAGGACACCTCGGTAGTGCGGAGCTGGGTCTATCACAGAAGGGGGGGGGGGGTAGGAGGGATGGGGATGGGGACAGGAACAGGGACAGGGGCTGGGCTGGGAAATAGCGTCTCTGCCAGCATTGCTGGATCCAGCTTGGCCTGAGCGGGGAGAGCAAACCTCTGCCCTCCCACCCCTGCACCACGCGGGCAGCCCTTGGTGCTTATTTTACCAAAGGCAGAAAAGTATATTAGTAAGTGGGGGGATTTTTTTCACCCTTTCCTTCCTGTTTGTGTCTGCGAGGTTGTGGTGTCCCAACATGGGGACCCCCCTGAGCCACACCATCGCCTTGAGCTTCCCGGGGTCTCAGCGGCTGTATGGGGACAGCGGGGACCGGGGTGGGCACGGGGGGCTCCCCTGGAGGCCGTGCTCACCCCCCGCGAGCGGGCCCTGCTCCGCACGGCCGACCCCGCTTCCAGGAGGCCCACAGTGGAGGTACGGTGACCCCCCTGCCCCTGTGGGCACCAGCACCCCTGCGGCTCCCCACACCCCGCGGCTGGTGGGGGTCCAGCCCCTCCTGCCTGCTGAACCCCCTGTGCAACAGGGAGAGCGCCCCCAGCAGCTGGTCCCGCCACAGGGGCACCAGCAGCCGCCACGGGAGCTGCTGGAGGCCCACGAACAGCAAATGGCCGAGATCCGGGCCAGAACCCAGCAGCTGGAGCAGCAGAGGGAAGGTGGGCACTGGCAGCGGTTTAGGGTGATGGGGGGCACGTGTGGGATGCAGCAACCCTCAGGGAGTGGGGGTCATGCTGAGCCCCCCTGTCCCCTCACGTTCCCACAGGGCTGTGCCGGCAGCTGGCAGCACTGGGGGCTGGGGGGGCTGAGGGACCCCAGCCCGAGCAGGGGGAGCTGGGGCTGGGCCAGGTCCTGCAGGCCCCAAAGGAGCAGCTCGGACAGGTGCAAGTGGCACAGCACAGGTGAGCCCCAGCTCTGCCACCTCCGGGGGAGAGCCCAGTGGGGTGCTCTCCATCAAGGAGCCTTTGGCCTCCTCACCCCCTCATTTGCCTGTTTTCTCCCCAGGACCACCCTCCACCTTGACACCCTCCTGCCACCCGCGGGGCCACTCACTGCCGAGGCCAGGTGAGGGGCTGTGGGCCATGGCAGGTCCAGCAGAGTGTCCTGCCAAGCCCAGCAATGGCTGATCCGGGGCTCTGGCAGGGCACTGCGACTGTCCTACCTGCGCGCTGGGGGACACGACCCGGCCATCCTGGACCAGCTGCTCCACCTCCAGCTGGAAGCCACAGTGCTGGAGAAAGGAACCCCGGGGCTGCGCAAGGGCAGGAGGATGGGTAAGGCCCAACCCCAGCCCCATCTCCCTGCAGGGACTGTGACTCCACAGCCGGCACCTGAGGCACCCCTGGCTGTGCCAGCAGAGCCCCCTGGCACTGGCACGCAGGGTCTGGATGCGGCACTGTTGGCTGTGGAGCTGGAAAACTGGCGTCTGGAAGATGAAGTGTTGGCGCTGAAGGTCAGGAGGGAGAGGAGAGCTGACGCTGGTAGGTGATGGGTCCTGGGGAAGGGGGTCCCCCATCCGCACCCCACAGCCTCTGGCTGCCTCTGGGGTTGCAGCATCAGAGCCTCTGGGCTGGACATGACTCATGGAAATATGGGGAAGTTGGGTGGGCTGCAGCTGCACAGCCCAGGTGGGGTCTCTGCACTGAGAAGGGAGAGTCCTGACCCCCCAGATCCTGAACATTTGCCCAGTGAGATGCCAGGGAAAGGGTTGCTGGGGGAGCATAAACCCCACAGCAAGGAATTCCTGTCCCCAGGCTCGAGGGTGGCCCAGAGGCACTCGGAGGAGCTGGCCCAGCTCCAGGCAGAGGTGGGGATGCTGCGATGCCACGCGGAGCAGACAGGGCCACGTCCCATCCTCCCACCCGCTGTGGCCCCTCCACTGCCACCAGCCCTGGCTGTGCCAGAACTTTTTATGGTAAGAGCCTTGGCCCAAGGTGATTTCTAGCTCTCCAGGGAGGGGAGAAGGGAGATGGGAGAAGGGCTGCCAACTGGGATAGGATGATGGATGGGGAGGTAAAAGCTTGGGAAGATTTGGGAACAGCTGCCTTGGCTGCAGCTGGGGATTAGGGTCCCTGGGGCAGGTGAGTCCCTTCCCAGTGATGGAGCAGGGGTGTAATTTGCTCTGCACACCCAATGCTGTGACAGAATGGCCAGGCAGCTCCTGCCTGTGCCTGTAGCAGGACAGTGTCAGGACCCTCCTGCCCTTGACATCACTTTTTTCATTTCCCAGGAGCCCCCTGGGCCAGCGCTGGGCCCAGGCAGCCCCACAGCCCATGTGCCCCACGGCCTCCCCCTCAGCCCCTTTGTGGCCCTGGAGGACCCTCCTCCTGCTCAGGAGCCCCCAGAACAACACAAACCTCCACGAAGGTGAGCCAGGAATGGGCCACACTGCCCTGGCATCCCCTCACCACCCTGCAGTGGGAAATTGGGGCTTTTTTAACTGTTAGGGTGATGAAATGATGGCAAAACTTCAGTTCAACAAGATGGGGCTTGGAACTGGCTGTGTAATTGGTACCAGGAACCCAGTGCTGGGACAGGGGGAAGCATTTGGGATCCCTGCTGGGCATTCTGGCAGCAGGGAGAGGACAGGCAGCATCAGGCTGACCCCTAAGCCAGCAGGCAGAGTGACACAGCTCAGCCTCCACCTCAGGCTGCTCTTTGTGCCCCAGGACTGAGCCCACAGCCAGATGAGTGTTCCATCCTGCCCACAGTGGTGGTTTGGGGACAGGCAGAGGGCACAGAGAAGCACAGTCACATTCCCTCTCCCTATGGCTCAGCTCATTCCATCAGCCACATCCCCTCCAGCAGCCCTTTGTAGGGAAAGCCTGACCAGGAGCAGGCACAGCTCAGCCCTGGCAACCAGCAAAACCCAGCACCAGCTTTCCTAAGTGTCACAGGCCACGTGCTGTGTTTAATAAATGGCTTCAGCCTCTTGCTCTTCACTTCTTGGCCTTTCTCTAAGTATATACACACACAGTGTCCCAGAGCAGGCTCCCATCCCCACCTGGGAATGTTCAGACACACAGGCTGCCCCAGGGGACAGCCATGCCCTGCCTGGAACCACCACTGCCGCCATCTCCACAAGCTCTCCCTGCACAAAGGGGCAGAGCTAAAAATACACATCCAACAACGTCCAGGATGTTACAAAGCTCTTCATCAGCCTTCCCCACCCTCTTTAGGCTGCTCGAGGCTGAGGGAGGCACCCCCAGAACCCACAGCAGGCTTAGCTGAGACTGAACCCCAGCACAGCCCCAGCTGTGACCACAGAGCTGGTGCCCCAGGAGAAGGAAAAAAGGTCACATCCAGACTGAAATTCACCACAGTGAATTTCATTCACTGCTCTTCTTCCCCCCAGAGCAGCCAGTTCTGCCTGCCCAATCCCACCCCCTTCTCCTGCCTCATGAGGCAGATGTGGCTGGAAATGCTGAAGCTCAAGGGACCAAGAGCCCAGCACTGGGCCAGGGCTGAGACTTGCACCCCAGGGGAAGAGCCAGGAGCAATGGCTGGAACCTGGCACAGGAGGAAGGTCAAGACAGGGACTATTTGCTTACAATCTTTATTGAAGTCATACAAAAGTTGCCAAAAAGTGAAAAAATACACTATATACAAAACCATTTTCCTTGTAAGGAGAGGAGTGTCCAAGGTTAAAGAATTATCATACTGTGCTTTCAACTGCAGCCCCTGATTCTGCTTGTGGCCTTTTCTCTGTCTAAAAGAGAAGAGAAGGGTTTGTTTTAAAAAAAACAAGACACTGCCTTACAGCACCAACTCATGCAGCAGCCCAAGGGTTCTGTAATTTGAAGATTTAACTGACTACATGAGCTTTGCTTGTCTCCAGAGCCCAACACTACCTTGAAGCACTGACATTAACAAGTGCAGCCCAGGGGTAGGTAATAAAACCCAGGAGTATGAAAAATTGGGGGAAGACCCTGTGCTGGAGTTTAGCCCAGCTGAAAATCCCAGAACCCGTCTCTGTCCCACCCCAGAGGTGACAAAGCTCCACAGCTGGGTCTGTCCAGCCCACACAGGGTCAGGCACCACAGCACAACATGCATCCTGCCCACTGGGAATACTCCTCATCCCATCTGGGAAGCCCTGTGGAGGCCAGCAGGCAATAAAACCAGCACAGCTCCCAGGCAAAGAACCATCCCTGAACAGAGCGGGGGAAAATGAAATAAAGAGCACAGCCCAGACTCCTGGCTCAGCTGCCCACCTCCTCTTCCATTTTTGCTGCAACCTCATTTCCACTGGGGGCAGGATCCCCACCACCACCATTGACAGCAGGTTCTGGTTTAGGTTTCTTGGCTTCATTGTCTCCCTGATGAGTCTCCTCCTCTGGTTTCCTCTGAAGACAAAATTGTTCATAGTCTTCACTAAGCACAAATTAAAGTCTTAATCTTTTTTGAGAAAACTTAGCATTAGAGGTCACTGCACATTATCTACCCAAGCTGTGCTTGCCAGGCTCAGCACAGACACCTCAGTGCCAGGGGTTAGCAGAGCTCTGAGGCTCTGGCTCCAAGGTCTCAACCACAGCAATCTCCAGTGAGACTGTTTGGGTGCCAGAATCTCTAGTGCTGAATTATCCTGGATTACACTCTGGCAAGGAAATGCAACCACTGAGCCCAGTAACAGTTCCAGGGTAGGTTTAGGGCATCTACAACACTTGAAATCACTTGTGTAAAGCAGCTCCAAGGCACACCTGAACTGACAGAGCCCAATGGAACAGAGGCCAGGCTGTGCCATGGCCACAGGCAACATAAAAACTAAAGTTCCTACAGGGGATATTCTTAGTTATATCAACAAACACTTCCAGAGAACACACACACACCTTTAAAGGAACAGAGTGCTCAACATCTCATCTCCGTTTTATCATTACCATCGCTCTGGCTTTGCTATTTATTAAGCCCAAGTCTCCATTTCCTTTTGGAAGAAGGGAACCCAGCCCAGCCTGGTTGCCTGCCCTTTCTCCTTGAGATCTGCAGGTGACCCTGCAGCTCCTGAGGGTCCTCAGCAGAGGAAGCCCTTGCTCAGAGAGCACCTGCAGAAGCCACACAACAGGGTCAGTAGTTACACCATGGTCAGGCTGGTGCTGAACCACCAAGAATGGTCTCCTGGAGGCCAGATGGTTCCCAGACTGATTGGCTCCCAGTGGAAAGGAGTTTCATGCACTATTTCTGGTTTTACTTTTAAAGTATTTTCCCATTATACAACTAAGTTAAGAAAAAACGCTTTAAGACAAGAAATCCAATTACAAAGAGCAAGACAGTGGTACTTGAACTGCTTGTTCAACGAGTCATTTCCGGACTCACCTTTTTCCTGACTAGGTGAGAGATGTCTGTAACACACTGAGATGCACCATCAGCTGCTTTTCTTACTGGAATCTGTTACAAGACAGACACTGACACATGAGCAACTGCAACCAGTAATCCTTAGAGCAGATAGGAATTAACAACACCCATCCTAAATTAACTTACTGTGGAAACGGAACCGCTGTCTTCACTTTGTGCAAAGCCAGATGTAGTTCCAATCTTAAGAAAAGCAGAAGAAGCAGTGAACAGATTGTGTGCAGACCATTCAAGCAAGCTTAGCAGGGGACAGAAAGCCCAACCCCTTCAAGGCCCAGCACTGCACTTCTACACAGGACAGACAACATTTGCTCCATGTTTGCCTGACCCATCATTTCCAGCCCTGATACATTAAATGCCATAGAAGCCTATCAAATTCCCATTTAGTTTGGAACAATTACTGTCAAGGTACTTACTAAATATCCTTTCTTTAGATGTCAGCTGCCTCAGTTTCCTTCTGAGAATCACAGCCTGTAACACCTGTGAGCAACCACCAGCCCCTGATCAAGTCCAAGCTTCTCCCATGACTGATTTAGTTAAAAGTTCCACTGGAAGAATGCTGGGTCAAAAGGAAACCACAGGACACACTCACCAGAGTTGCTTTCAGTCCCAACTCAGCTACTCTTGCACTCTTTTGAGACTCCTTTGAATCTTCTATCTTTTCTTTAATTTCAGGAAGCAATCCCTTCAGCTCTTCAATCTCCTTCTCGTCCTCAGGGGACCCACTTTCTGCTTTCTTTATTCTCTCAGTCAGTATTGCTGGGGTGAAACAGTTATCAGGGCAAAACACCTTGAGACAAAGTAACTGTCCAGTTATCAACATCCAGAGTCAACTATCTGCTAACACACAGTTTCCACAGTTCTGCTGTGGGTGTGGTCTGTCTGTCACCACGAACACCGCAGGGCAGGCAAGGAGCACACCTCAGTTGAAGTTTGCTCTGCCTCGACAAAACTCTGAGAGAGCTTTAGAAATCCACTTACTCACCCAGTCTCTTGTCGATGACCTCCATGGACTTGCCGAACTGCAGGACGGCCTGGTCGAAGTCGCTGTTGTAGTGGTAGGCCAGGGCCAGCTGGTAGTGGCTCTCGGCCAGCAGACGGTCGTGAGCCTCCAGGTACTTCTGCTGCAGGGCCAGGCAGGCCTGGAACTCCTCTATAGCCTGGGTGTAGTTTTCTGCAGGAGAAAAGCCACAAGGTCCTCACAAACGACACTAATCATCCAAACAACCAAAGCCCTCGCTGGATCACTCCGTGTTCTGTCACACCCCGCAGACAGAGCGCGGCAGCCGCGCTCAGGGCCGAGTTGCTCCGGCAGCACTGCCTCCCCCTCAGAGACTGTCTAGTCCAGTTCCTGAAGTTATCTCACGAGTGTTTTGTCTGCTTCCAGCACAGTCAAACCAGGCACTAAATCCTCCTGTTTAACCTGCCACCACGAATTGAATGTAACAGGTCCCAGCTGCAACACGGATCTGCAGCCAAGGACAGTCCCCTGCCGCCCTCCCGCCGAGCTCTCCACTGAAGGTGCTCCGGTGACATAAGACAACCCTTGATTTGTAGCCCTGGCCCAGAAACCTGTTGGATCATTTCCAATGCTTGCCCCAGAGAAGGAGTACACTTGGATTTAACAAGATTGAATTATGTTTTCAAATGAAAGGCAGGTGAAACATTAGATGGTACAAACCTGGGGCTTGCTTCCCACTCCTTTTTTCTCCTGCATTACACAAGAGCCTTTCCTCACTATACCTGAGGATTTTGGAAAGTAAGTCAACCATTTTTCATTTGCAGTCTAAGTTCTGACATGGCACAGTACTGGCACCTCCTATTAATTAAGCTCAGTGACTCTCTGCTTCAATAAGTCTCTTTTAAGTTCATAGGCAAGGTTTGGTCACTTCAGAAAGCGGAACACACGACTGATTTTGCTCTGACAACACATTTCTTACTCAAATTTTTCTTTCACTGCTCTGGAAAAGCACAACTATCCCATTTAAGGCACCAACTCAGTTCATCCATTGATGGCAAAGCTTCTCACATGGCTGCAACTACCATGATCATTCTAATTTGTTTTCATTCTGAGAGCCTTAACTTACCTCTGCTCATTTTAAAGTACAAAACAGAGTGTCAGAAAGTGGAACTGAACACTTTGCACGTGAGAATTAACATAACTTACCAGATTCAATGCTAACCTCTCCTAACTTCAGATGAGCTTGAGCTGCATGGAGCTGAGCTTCTTTTGTTTCTTGTCTAAATAAAAAACCAAAAAAAATAAATGGTTTCCAAGTCCTGATCAGAATATGGCACATTCACTAACTGGTTACACCACCCTCCAATTTACAGAGTTTCTCTGGCATATATCCAAATTAAAACTCAAGTCTTTACCTCTTGTAAATTACTTTTGCCAACTCCAGCATGTCCCAGGCCAGCTCAAGATTTCCAATTTCATCCTCCTCGCTTTCCTGTAAAGACCAGAAGTTCATGAGAGATTAAATGACTTGGCTACAGATCACATCAAACACTGCCACTAAATTCCTAACCAGAGTTGTCAAGGAATCCATTTCTTCAAGAGGTGAACAGTTTACCACTAGAAGGAAAAAAAGAACAATAATATGGAGAAGAGGTTATTGCATCAATCAAGACTTTGCCTGCAGTGAAGATGGTTCAGTGGAACATAAACTCACACTGTTTGTTGATATGGCCTTATTAACTTTTTTCCCCCAGAAATATCAGGGCACCAAGCACCAATATTATCTCAAGAGGAAGATTTTGTTTAAGGTGCTATTTAGATCTTTTTTTTAATGAACCTTTGAACTTTATTAGAGCACTGAGAAAGGAGAGAGATAATCATTTAAAAACAGTTATCTAGAATGCTTAGTTTCACACTACGAGGCTTCAGATTTTTCCAGGTGCTTTGACTGCTACATCAATGTACATCTCAGGTTTGAGCAGCACCACATTTCTCAATCCATTCCCATGCTAATCACAGCTTACTGGAGCAGAAGCATTCAACATGTATAGTGAAAGAAAAAACAAGCAGA